GGACGTACCGAGAAAATTACGACCATCAGAGCCAACAGGTTCACGAGAACCCGACGGCGGCCTCTGTTGCATTCATGTGGCCGCGGTGTATCTTCCCGAGTAAACTCGGCTCGGTGGATCGCCTGAAACCACTACGATCTGGGAGGAAATGCACGTGATTTACCTGCCAAGTGGCTGGTGATTGATGTATTGCGAGCATGCTTATTTTCCACATATGGTTGTGAACGTCGCTTGGCTTCCAAACGACGAACTAGTTGGACCATAATTCAGTCCCATTTGCATCTGAATACCGTAGCTTGTGAACAACTGACAGGACACTTGTGTTATCTTAGCATCATTGAAATCGGTACGCACGGTTTCCTTAGCAACAGCAGAAAAGATGATATAGATAGCCCGGCCTGAGGCAGCCAGGCCGTCCGCTGCCGTCGCCTGCAGCCAGGCCTTGTATGTCGTGAATGCCGACTCACACATCTGCCCAAATGTCATCGCGTGAGTCACCGCGGCTGCCCGCCCCGTACAACTGTCAGATACGCCAGGGCGCGTGGAACCCTCGATAGCATGGCATTTGGGGCCACGGCCAGCGCGATGTACGCACATGACGCTCGCGCCGCCCGGTGCGGCCGTTCGCCATCCTAGTCTTGTTATCGTGACGTCACGTTTGCTTTCGCAGCTCGAACCACAGCCGCAGTCAGTCGCAGCCGGAGGTGCCCATCGGCAGACGCAGCACGTGGCTGCGCACCAGCCTGCGCCGAAGCTCAAGGTCAGCGGGTCAGGTCACGGGCAGGGGCGCAGCGAGGAGGCTGAGAATGGGGCGGCACCACTGCCCGGCGCCACGTGGTCAATGTGCAGCACTAAACATAGATACGAGTGGAAACCGGTGTAATGGACGATGAGCTATGGAATTTTTGTCCCAACCGGGATACGAGTCTGAGGATTTTATGTTTTTTGGTGGCACCGAGGAACTGAAAGGAGGAAAATACACGATGGGTGCCACTCAGCCGTGAGCAAGCCAAGCCCCCCCCCCCCCCCCAACGGCCCAAGTGGCACGGTTATAAATGGCTTAATGGAGGGACTCCCTGAACCGACCGTGTGCTTTCCATATGTTGACCTGACGTGTTCCCAATGCGTGCAGCCCGGGACGCGGCTGTGAGCATGTTACGAGCGCGATCAATACCGTCACGCCATTTCAGGGACAACGCCAGCGAGCTGCCGGCCCAGTTTCGCCGCTACGGATCCATGAGACAGTAAGTCCGTGCATGGTGACAGAGTGCAGAGGCCTATGCTGCCCGTTTGCGACAACGTCGTGTTACGGAAACGCGGGCGTCTGGCACCAGGCATGCACCCATGCTGGTTAGCCCGGTGGTGACGTCACCTGGTATTGTCGCGGCGGTGGCGGGGTCGTCGCCCGAGGCCTTTTTTGGTGCGCCTGCCAGCCTCGCCTCCCCCCCCCCCCCCTCCCCCCAGCCTGAGCAACAGTGGCAGCTGCACTGTGTTGATGACACGACGACTTGTGCCGTGCCGTGACGTCCCTCCTCCCCCGAACCCGACCCCGCGCGCCGCCCGGTGCTGAAGCCTTCTGCAACCTTCGTCACCGATCGATCCAATCTGCCGCGTCACCGCCAGCGTGACGTCACAGGTCAGCTATGCGGGTGCCCCTGGCTTGTGTGCGGCGGAGCACCTGTGGGGCGCCGTCGATCGCGTCGGGCGGGGGCGGCGGCGGCGGCGGCAGCCGCGGCAAGCGAGCTGGGCGCTGATCAGCGGCTTGTGCTGCCAGCACCATCAGCACCGCCCACCACTCTTGGCCGCCCGCCCAGGCTTGAAGGAAGGCTCAGCAGTCCAGTCTGTGTTTCGGAGTTAAGGGCGGCTCTTTATATTGACGGAGAAACGGGACAACCGCGCGCCGGCACTCTTGCGCTGCCGCGCCAGCTTCATGGGCCGCACTGTCGCACTTCTCCCAGAAAGTGGACGCGCAGTGCGGACCTACGGGCCCGGAAAATGACCGATTTCACTCAACACATCGCTGTATTGCGACACCGTCACCGTGAAAGCTGCTCAGTCGAAGCAAAAAGGTGCGGTTGCCGGGGTGCAGTCCATGACCTGCCGGACGGTTGTCTGTTCAGCGTTTCCGCGATCCGAATGTGTGCGTCTTCTGTATTTCGGTTAAATTATAAATCATACTGGGGCACCAAGTTTTAGTAGCATGAAACTGAGGGATGGCGATTACCTATTACACCACATTTCCTTTGTTATCGCTTTTCGGCGTCTGGAATCCAGTTGCCATGATACGCCTGTTTCCTCCGCGCGTCTCATCTAGCGACTTCATATTCAAAGTAAGCTTACGGAACCGGCCGCTAGGCGCTGGCGAGCATCTCGCCGTCGAGATCGGGCAGTGGAGTTAGAAAGTGATCGGCGCTGGGGAAGGGAGGGTGGCCGGTCCGTGCGGGTGAGGCGTGCCGTCGGTGCCCGACTGTGGTGAAGCCGGGCGGCGGGTATGGCGGAGCGGGGGACGTGACCCAGCGCCGCAGCATGTACCGCAACAGCAGCTGGAGAAGGTCAGTGGCCAGACGAGGGGGACGCGAACGAGCGTCGGAGCGTGAGCGATCGTGGTTTGGGTGCTTCCTGCGTCTGGGGTGGGACTGCCTCTGGTAGCGACTTGTTCAGGAGAATCAGTTCTCTCCGTCGACACTGGCTGGAAATAGCCATAACGCTTACGCAGATCCGGCGGTCAGCCGCGTTGTAGCCCGTTCTATGCTAGCCTTGGCGGGCAGACCCTTGCGCTGTTTTGCTCCACCGCGCGTACCTCCACTCGTACGCCCGTCACGTTGCCCAATCGGGCTCACGCACGCATGCAGGCCAGCGTCGCTACAAACAGACGCAGGCGCGTCTCTGGGGCCACGAGCTCGATGTCGGAGCCGGCGCGGCGGAGGCGCGCGTGGAGCCGCAGACTGATCCGACACCAGCCGTCCCGTCATGCGAGAGACGAGACGCCTGTCCCGACGTTTGTGTCACCGGGAACCTGTCCTGCCCGTCGTGCAACCCACCGAGGCATGCAGGCTTTTCACTTCAGCGCAGCGGACACGGACTCGGGCTGGTGAGAAGGCAGTAGTCGCGCAGGGAGACATTTGGGAAGCGGATGCAGTCGTTGCTGGGTGGGCGGCTTCACTGACGTAGCCTCGACGCAGTGTGCTGGCCCTGTTGGCGTAGCCTGCGTTGCAATTACTGCCATTAATGCTGAGTGGGGGCGCGCTGTTCGCCTGACTCTGCGGCAGACCGGCCCGGCCGCCGGTCGATAGTCATTTGTTTTGGAATGGTCGCCTAAGCCCGGTCATGGCCGGCTCCAGGTATGCCGGGCGGGCCGCCCGGTCGATCAGAAGGACGCAGTAGCAAGTGCTTTAGGCGAGGATGTGAGGACGCGAGTCCTCCTCCGAGGGCTCTGGCGCCTTGTACGATTCCGTGACTCGATGGCGCCGCGACTCCGACTGCGAGGACTCTGATCTTGACGGCGATGGAGTCTCTTCTGTGCCAAATCGCGGTGGACTGCGACGCGTCGTTCTGCTTTGAACGACGACAGCGTCGTCACCCTGGGCACATCGCGAGAGGGTCGATGATCTGTTCTGCACGCAGTATCCACATTGGAGCCTATCCAGACTCCCCCGGTCGTGCTGATAGCGCCTTCGGTCGGCCGTGCTTATATAACACGCCGGACATTTCTGAGCTGCTGGTGGAGCAGCCTCGCGTCGCCGAAGCCTGCGTCTGCAGGCGGGGTGACCGCGGCTTCGAACGCCGGCCCAGCGTCGCCCGCCGAGGCTTCCCGGCCGGCCGCTGCGCACGTGACGACCGGAGGGATGTACCTGGGCAGAAGGGCTTCCCGGGTTCACGCGGGGTCACGACCAATCGAGGCCGCACTTCCGGCGCCCGGGCCGGACGACACCCGTCCGTCGCCTCGGCCGGCGGCGACGGACGGAACGATGCGGCCGTGTTCGACCCGGCTCATTTGTGTACGCTTCCGACGACGCGTCACCCCGCAGAACCCGGTGCGGGCTCAAGGGTCGAAGGCGTGGGACTGTGGCTGTGGTTTGAGCTGTTCCACGGACACGCCAGACCTTGCGGGTCGGCTGAGACGGGGCCGGTTTGTCCACCCCGGGATGTCTGTCAGCTCTGCACAGTGCGTGCGGCTGTGCCGCGTTTCGCAGCAAACTGCGACCCTCGCGCGAGCTCAGTCCGCGCGCCGCCCTGAACACGGCAACTCTGGCCACGACTTGATGCGCTTATCCATGCTCGACGCGGTAATCCATATGGGCTTCAAGAGACGCCGTCTTGTTTTGAGACCCTGAATTCCCGTGATGGTTTCGACGTGCCAGGTGGCGCGCACACACTTTGTCGGCGGCTAACGGTGCCGCATACCCCAGATCCTATCTGCGGGCCGTGGGCGAAGCCGTGCAGATCGGGAGCGTTTCCTCCAAAGCGGGGTCGACCTCGCCTGAGATGTCTCGATTGCGCCAAAGCAACGCAAGCGGCCGGTGGGTGCAGCGCTGCGTTTATATCTTTGGTCCGTGCAGCCGATGACGCGTTGGCGTGGCAACCGTCGCTGTCATTGAGGTGTCATTGAGGTGTCAAGAGCGACTGGAAAACATGCGGTCCTAGATCAGGTATGGCTGCTCTGTGACGTGCTCGTGGTAAGCGACCCAGTTCTTTTTCTGGGCTGCTTTTTGGCAGTTGCAACATCACAAGGCGTTTAGTTCCTGATCCGAAGGGTTGCTGTTTCTGTTGACTAAACGATGCCTGCACGTTTGCACGCTGATACCTTGTGCCATTCTAACTGAACTAGTCTGCGGCGCTGCACTTGTCACGTTTTCAGGATTGTGCCTACACAAAAAAACAGCAACAGCAACATCGGCAGGGAACCTAGGATTTGTCTTTAACGGCCAAGTAGCTCAATTCTCTAAATCAATTACGACGTTTTCAAAGTCACTTCGGAACAATTCCCGCTTCCGTATCGCGAATGTCCTCATAAGTCGCGGGCGCTACCGTGAACAGATGATTGTTTTCAGTCAGAGACTTGAGCTGGCAGCGTTGATTAATGGAGGCCGCTGCGTCGCCCCGCCGTGGTCCGACCGTGGCGGAGACGCCGCAGACAGGCGCTGCAGCCCATCGTGACGTGCGCTGCCCACCCCGCCTCCCTCGTGACGTGCGCTGCCTACCGCGCCTCCCTTGTGACATGTGTTACCCATCCCGCCTCCCTCGGACGTATGGGGTTGAAATGTGGAGGAGGCGTGGGGCTGCCCCAGCGCCTCGGCGATCCATCGCCTCAGTGCCTCGGTGATCCAGCCCGGACCCCTGTGGCCTGATTCGGACGCTCGGTGGTCGCTGTTCCCGTGAGGTCCACTGGACCGCCACGCTATGTCGGGGTCCTCGCGGTCTTGTTCGGACTCACGCGGTCTCATCTGGACCCCGAGGTGCCGCTGTTCCGGGTTGCACCTGCTCCCTGTGTCTGGCACCGCCCCAACGCCTGGGAACTGGTCCAGCGACATCCGAACCAGCTCGAGGCCAGGGCCGGCGCCGCTGATGTCAAGGTCGTCGATGTCAAGATCACCGACGTCAAAGCCACCGGCGTGTGCGGAGCCGTCAGGGACCTGGGCTCCAGCGTGCCGGGCGACGGCCTCCTGTCCACGCGACCCCCCAACTGACGTGACCGCGGCCCGCAGCCCTGGTGAGCTGTCCGGGTCCCGGGCAGTTGGGGCCGCCAATCTGGGGCGGTTGGGGCCGGCCGTGCTGCGAGGCGGAAGCCCGCGCACGCTTTCTGCCCCGGACAGATCGCGTCGGCTCGCGTTCTGTGCGCCACCGCACGTCCCGTGCGCCACCACACGTCACGCGGCGTGTGGCGCGCACGCACGGCTCCCACGTGTGGCGGCTGGGCCGGAGAGCTGGCGACGGCGCGGCGTCGGCGGGCGCTGCCGTCGGCGATGTGATCGCGCCGGCGCCGGTGTCGCAAGTGCCGGCCGTTGCTCCACATGTCTCCGGTTCGGCGGTGGACAGAGGCCGCTGCGGGGCTGCTGGCGGCGTGAAAAGCGTGGAGACAAAAACGCCCGGTCGTCGTGTGGCCGCAGGCTAGTTTGATGTATTCAGCTTGGCTCCGCTTGGCTTGGCGCTTGGCAAAGGCTGGCCGTGTTGAGCCGGCAGTGTTTTGCGAGTGACGCTGCCCGAGCCTCTGCCGGCGCCGCTCCGGCAGGCACTGGGCTGAGCC